AAATAATACTTAAATGAATAAGGTAAGGTAAAAAAATTATACATTAAATTGCGTCAAAAAAATAGGCCGAATAGTGGTGGTCCAGCATTGTTGAACACCGAATAACCCAATAGGTCCATTGGGTCAAAATTTAGAAATAAGTTAATAAACAAGAGCAATTAATATAATGATAAGGAGAGATGCATGTAAAAAAATATAAGGACATAGCATTCTTGTAAGTATGAATATTATCTGTACTAACTATTAAGTAAAGCATGGCTACTCACCCTACATGTCGAAGACACAACGATCTGTGGCGATTGATAAAACAATCATGGAAAAAAAAACACACACACACACAGAGTCGAGTAAGTTCATTTCATTGGCAAATTCATTTATTTATTTCATATCACTACCNTCATATCACTACCAGAAACAGTAAAGATTCACCAACTAACAAACGTTGCATCAACTCACATGCACATTTTATTACACACGATTTTGTCTCGTAAAAGTAGCACAAATCTTCAACATAAAAGATACCCTTTTTGCAAGGTATATCCGAGTTTTCACATTACTCAAAACCACACAAAAATCTTGTCATATCAATAATCATGGAATAAGAGAGAGAGAGTGTCCTTTTTTTCGTCATGCAACGCCTTAAGAAAACTCGGGGTCTCTCCTGAAAAGCCAATGAGGGAAAAAAGGGGTAGGACACCTTAAACAAAAACCAATGAAGAAAAAAGTGGGCTGCGCAAAATTCAACCCCTCAAGAAACCATTGGCCGATAGAAGAAGCAAGCAAGCACCGGACAGTATGGCCAAAACGCGATCACGACCCCCTTGTGTGAACGGGGACGCGAGGTCAAAAGGCTAAAGGTTAAAATTAACGAATACCGTCCGGTTCGCAATTTAAAGTACACATGCTGTGTGAGAAAAAAAGGGAAAATGTCACGAGGTGAAGGGGACAAGACATAAAAAACTTATATATCTATTTCTCACGGTAAATAAAAGTAAAGCAAATTAAGAAAACAAAACTAAAGCCAATTAAAAAAAACAAAGTTAAAGCAAATATTAAAAAGCAAAAGTGAAGAAAACATTAAAAAAACAAAATTATATAAAGGAGAGAATAAACTTGTGATAATTAACATTATCACACCTACTAATCTGAATAACAAGATCATTCAAAACAGCACCCACACCAGGTCTGAATGTTCTGGCAGGTTTACCGCCACTGCACCTGCAAATCCAAAAAGAAGCACTTCTAGCTAACACACTAAGATTCAATCCAGAAAACACACAAAGCAAAATAAAAGCGGGTGATTATCAACAAAAGATAAAAACACATATGGTCCACCCGGCCCATAAGACTAGCCATAAATACACTAACCTACCAACAAGTACTAGAACTAGCAAAACAACGACGGTAGAAATCTACACCGATGGCTCCAAAACAGACAATGGCATGGGAGCTGCATTCTGTGTTTACCACAACAACCAACATACAGATACATACAAATTTACGCTAAAACAAGAAAGCACAGTGTTTCAAGCAGAGGTTTTAGCCATCAAAGAAGCCACCAATTGGTTAGAGACGCACAGCTGCAAAGATGCAACAATTTTAAAAAACAATCTGGCTAGTATACACGCTATTAGAAAAACGGAACTAAAAGACCTACACGTGGCAACAACACAAAGACAACTAGAACACCTAGTCAGAAAATGCAGCACACAAATACACTGGGTGGCAGCGCACACAGGTAACATAGGTAATGAAGCAGCGGATTTAGCGGCTAAAGATGCAGCAGCAGGTCACGGGATTCCCAGCGGTGTTCTGCTTCCACCATCGAGCCTAAGAAATAAACATAAAAACATGACACAAAAACTTCGGCAAGCATACTGGGAAGAAAGTGAAAAAGGCTATACAACAAAATTCCCCTCATTCTTACACAGGATGCAGCGAATAAACACAGATACATGCCCATGCGATGACACAGGTACCCCAAGTCACTACCTACATGATTGCCCACTAATTGAATCGTACCACCTCAAAAAACCCAATGAACAAGGCAGAAAGATATTTGCAGACAGTTTCAAAAGCAAGCATATTATGCAAAAACTAATTAACATTCTAGCCATAACCAGGAACATCACAGACAATATGTCATAAACCTAATAATAACTTTGTAAAAATACTGGCAGCAAATACAATCATGAGGTGTCATGGCCACAGGCAAACCATTGCTGCAGCATTAAAACACACTCTGGCCCCACCCCTGACCAACAAATATTTGGCAGGCAGTCAGTCAACGCAAGCTGTTGTCCGTGATCACCACACACGCCTCACCACTGACCCTGCTCCTAGACACTGCGGGCAAGCAGTATGCCAGGAGCTTTACAGCTACCCGTGATGGCTATTCATGTAAATTATAAAAAAAATGGTGGGGGAGGAGTCAGTCAACTTAATTACTAATTTCTAATAAGTTACCACCATTTATGATTTTGGTAAGTTTTATAATTCACTATCCGCCAAAACACTGCCTCAACTACTACTCATAATATAAATAGGTAAAACACACAACACAACCTAAACAAAACATTCATACCTCACAATCAACCACGGACTGGCTCACAATAGCAGCCAACGTGATTGATCACCACACACGCCTCACCACTGACCCTGCTCCCTGTCCCTGGGGACAGACAGTGAGTCCGGAGCTTTTCAGCTACCCGTGATGGCCATTTATGTTAAATGTATATTTATGTTAAATGTCGACATAATGTTAAATGTCGCGGGACAGTGGATGGCGGTTTGGGTGCTGCTTTGCTCGTGCAGCAGCCAGACTGTCGAAATTAAGTAATTTTAGCTCTTCCTTTCTTTCCTTTCGCACCCGTCATCGCAAATTGCTTCAGATCATGGGCCTCCCCGTCGACGCAAGTGTTGTCACCATATCGTCACCAAGCCAAAGTGCCAATCTCTTACTGCTGTAGGTACGTACGCGCACAGAGTCCTCAGTATCACCTGGGTTAAGCTGCGCTTATGTTAAATGTAAAAAAAAGAAAAAATGATAATAATAATAAAAAAAAATTAAATTTAAAATTTAAAAAAGAAATTAAGAAAAAAAGAAAAAAAAATAATTAAAAAAAAAAATAAAATACATGTGGCGTGACTAGCTATTTTATATTGTACTGTTATTGTCGACGTCCATCCTTTGAGTCTGTAACGTAACGCTGCTAGTTAATCAATGTAAAATTAAATTGTCTCTACTAAGCCGAGATAGCCTGGTCAGTGGGGTGCCGGGCGCCCATGTCCAAGACTTCGTGGGTTCGGTCCCCGCCGGTCGAAG